CCATCCCCATCTTTATCTCCATCTCCTTCTCTTTCCCTGTCCCTATCTCCATCTCTGTACTCATTCCCATCCCCATCCCCATCCCCGTCTTTCTTGCCATCTCCTTCTTGTTCTCCATCTCCATCCCCATCCCTGCATGGCTCTAGCCGCTAAAATTGCTCCTTCTCATTCTTTTTTTTACCCCCACCCCAGAAAATATTATGGAACTTGTGTGCGTATATTAAAGATGGGGATGGATGAATTCTACCTTTGGTTGAGAGTAGAACCAGTGGTAGACATGGGCGATTATTTCCATGGCAGCATTTGAGTGTATTAGGTGTGATGGCTTAGTAATTATTATTTCATTTCAGCAAATGCTGGATTATTTGGATTAAAGGATTATGCAGTTTGAATTGGAGGATTGTAACTAATTTCTTTCAGTTGGGGAAATTTTGAAGTGGTTTTTTTTTCCTGAATAGCATAGAATAGCAGCTAAGAAGATCTGTTTTAGAGCTCTCACTGTGGTATATTGTGCCCTTGAAATTTTTACTTGTGCAGTATTTCTGAATTGACATTTATTATTATCAAAATTGATAGTGGGATAGTTCAATGAAGCTTGTAAACTCCCTTCCTCCCTCCCCTTAAGCCCCGAAAAAGGCCCATTTTTGAGCAATGGGCTGCCATTTCCTAATGCCGTTAAGAATGTGAGCACACTGTAGGATGCCTTCCTCGTGCGGAGAAGCCTGACATGATTGAGGTTGGAAGTGTGACTTGGCAAGCTGAAGCTAATTAGAAGCAATCATCTTTCAGGTTCGGGCAAAGATCTATGAGGTTGAACAGCAGATAAAACGTCGGGGCCGTGCCGTGGAGGTTCGGTGGTCTTTTGACAAATGCCAGGAATCAACAGCAGGTATTTAAAAGCAGAAATGAATAAACAGTTTTGGCTCTTGGGCTTCATGATTTGTTGATTCTTAGATTTGTTTTTGATTCTTACAAATTGTTTTCATATGAAGAAGAGTTTTTCATACAAACACTTAATGGATTGTAGGCAGAGCCCTAACTAAGGTGACTGGGGCTTTGTCTCAGGGTCCAGAATTCGGAGGGCACTGTCAGCACTTACAGGCCTTCAGCACAGGCAGTAAACATTTATTAAGGGCCTACTATGTGCAAGGCACTGTGCTAAGTGCCAAGGATGCAAAGAAAATCAAAAGACTCCTGCCCTAAAGGAGCTCACAATCTAATACCAGAACAAGTTGGCAAGAATAATTAGTTTAAACTAATCTTAGCCTGGCAGCCACCTTCCAGATGATTCTCTCTCCCCATGGGCAAAAATTCCTAGTAATGTTATTTGGTTTATATGTTGGATACTTGAACCACATTTGGACTCTTTCCATTTTTGAAGGGGCTGAATTTTCTGAGGATGCCTTGAAAATTGTTAGTGTTGGCTTTTTTTACTAGCTATCTCTTTAGGTGATCTTTGTGTTATGTGGACTTGATTTTTGCCTATGTCACTGAGTGCTTTGTTCTCCTTCTTCTAGGAGTCACCATCAGCAGGGTCTTGCACACCCTGGAAGTCTTAGATCGCCATTGTTTTGACAGATCTGATTCTAGCAATTCAATGGAGACCCTTTATCACAAAATTTTCTGGGCCACCCAGAACAAGGACAACCAAGAGGTAATTCCTAATTTTTATCACTTACCATCCATTTTCCCAGGGTAGGCTTCTTTCTCATTCAGCGTCTAGGCTGATGATGACAGTGCTGTGCAGTAGGAAAGAAATGGGAAGACCATGAGTTGGGAATCAGCAACTTGGGTTCCAGTACCAGTTGCCTCAGAAACTGCTCACCTGTGGGCCCTTGGGCATTTCTCTGGGCCCCAGTATCATCATCTGTCAAATAAAGGAGCTGGGCTAGGTGGCTTCTGGAGACCCTTTCAGCTCTAAGTCGAGGGTCATATTTCTTTGCTGTGGGTGATAACATGTCTAAATGAACCACAGTATTAATATAAAACTTAAACCTACCATGTGAGATCTCCCCATCTTTGTTCCAACAGACTGTGCATTTGTTAATGATTAGACTTAATCAATTTATTCCTTTTCTTTAAGGAATGAAATTTTTTCAATACTTAGAACAGAGGGAGGTGAAAGAATAATTGTAATAAAAGTCTTTGAAACATCTATGGGTGAGCCCAGCTAAGTTGGAGTGGCTCATTAGCAGAAGGTTGGCCACCAGGGAATGATTTTTTTAAGTCACAGAAAATCAAGATCTTCCTAGGGTGATGAGGGGCTGTGACCTGTGTTGGTGGTAGAAGTTACCAATTGATGACATCATAGATCTTGAAGAAGTCATGATAATTATTGCATTGATAAAAATGTATTAAGAATTGTCCCTCACTGTTCCCTTCTCCGCTTACCACTATATACTGTGTGTCCCAGGCAATTATGAGTCCTGTTTGTGGATAATAATAATCATTATCATTTATATAGCACTTTAAGCCCTTTCCACCAATCATTGTGGGTGTTGATTACTATCTTTCCTTCTTGAAAAGGACCAAAATGACATCACTATATTGGAGTCAAGGTACAGCGTGTCTGACTATGGCTGATCAGATCAATATGAGCTTGGAAGGCTATACCACACACAGGTCAGGCACATATAAGCATTTGGAGCAGAGGTGGCTCTAAATTTGCACATTTCACGTTTCTTTTTGGCTCCTGCAATTCTGCTTTGCTTATAGAGCACAGCGCCTTCTTTGATGCAAGCACACCATGCTGGTTAGTCCTGTGCCAGTGTTTCCCATGTCTTAGAACTGATGCTTCAGAGAGACCTTAAGAGTGTCCTTGTATTGCCTGCTCTTAGTCACAGCTCTGACTCAAGGTTATCTTTCCCTTTGTTTCTGGTTAGCCATCAATGAGGTTCAAGTGAGATTATGTGTATAAAGTGCTTTCCAGTCCTCAAAATGTGATGTGAATGTCTATTATGATGATTATTATCATCATTATCATTATAGTTGATTTTTAAATTGTCATATTATTAAGCTTCTTCTCAGATGTGGTTTAAAGCCTTTTATACTTGTGATTCTAGAATGTCTGGTCTTATGAGCATTTAAAGTAAAAATTGGGACTTTAGCATTTTCAACAGCAGGTATTTATGAAACACCTACAATGTGTATGGTGCTGTGCTAAATATGGGGATAAAATATTTAAAGAAAAACACAACTTAGCTCTGGTCTCATAAGTTACAAGAACCTCAGCATTAATCCCAGTTTCTTGGTTTCTCCATCGGGTTCAGTGAGCAATTGCTCTCATGAACCATTGGGTGCAAGAGAAATTTATACATTTTCATTTCTTTTTTTTTTTTTAAATTTATACATTTTCTTGCTTATTTCTATAGTTACTGACATAGTTCTGTGTTCAGGGGAAGGTATAGGGGTGAGATCCTGGACAATACTTAGGTTATGAAATGTTATAAGAAGCAACGCACTCAGTCGCAGGTTGGACCCTTACTGGAAATTATAATTGATCCCTAGAACTGCAAGTGTGCAGTATGACTACTAGAATGAAAAAAGGGGAGCTTGGTAGTCTAAATACATCTGGATTACAAATAAAAGGTGTCTGAGGCACACTCTGTTTCCTCTTTTATTACTGAGTGCAATAGCAGAAAGCCATTTTATTCCCTAGGGAGGGAATGGCCGTATCCGTCAAAATCAATTGATTCAAACTGTCAGCCTGCCTCGATAACATTATAATGAGCTTGCCAGCTTCCAATCATTGTTTGACTTCTTTGAGGAAACTTAATAAACCAATTCCAATAGAATCAAAGGGGGAAATGGACCTCAACTGAAGATGAGGACAGCTGATTCTGTCATGTGTACAAGCCATTGTGAGGAAATTCTGAATGCAGGATGGGAGGCAGAATGATGACTTTGAAATCACCTCGTGTGACCCTCGGGCAGTTACTTAATCTTGCCTCAGTTTCCTCATCTGTAAAATAAGCAAGTTGAACCAGATGACCTGCGAGATCCTTTCCAGCTCTAAATCTGTGATCTCATGAAATCAAAGTGATTGACACCATCCAGCCCATGGAAATGTCTCCTTTCCGCTAAATTGAGAGTTGGTCCACTAGGTGGCAGCTTGTTACTAGAATTGTGATTTGTGAACTGACTGATTTTATTTTTTAAAACTAGTGCTAGGTGCATTTTTTTTTCCAGGATCGTAGAAAGGAAAAATAACAGGATCACCCTTTGACTTAACACATCAAACATTTCCCCCAAATATTTTTGAATGTGTGAATGTTAGCTGGCCAGAAACTTTCTTTTTTTAAGCAATACATTTTGGGGTTTATAGCCAGTTAGCATGTTAAAGAGAAAGCCCTCTGTTCTATCACGTAGCTCCACAATGACCTTACTTGTGTTTTTTCCCTAATCCTTCCCATATTTCTCCACCTTAAATCATTTGTCAGTCTCCCTCCATGAACAGAACACAATTTGTAATGTATTCATAGGTACCAGTATACTGTGTGCAGTGTTGTTAAAATGATGTTTTATGCATGATGGATATAAATCCACTTTGTCTAATATTTAAAACTGTAATTCCTACTGGTGACTGCCACTGAACAATTTGATTTACTGAAAGAAAGGATAATTGAAGTCTGATAGGTCCTTCCACACTAGGTACTCCCCATTAAATGATTAATAATAATAATGGGGCTTTGCCCTCTGTGATTGAATGGATACATGAGGACAAAAGAAGGTTGGCATAATTGCTTTTCATCAGATGTTAATGCTACATCCTTTTCTTGACTATTATGGTGATAATAAATATTTTTTTTTTCTTCTTCTGTTCTCCTGGGAGTTCCTGTGCTGATAGGGAAGGAAGCAGGGGACATGGCTTTCTTGTCCTGGTTCTTCCCCTGATGTTCCATATGACTTTGAACATGTCACTTAACCAGTCTGTGCCTTAGTTTCCTCATCTGTCAAATAGGGATTAATGGTGTTGTTCACCTCTGGGAGCTTAACAAGCTTTTTGAAAAGTAGGAAAGACTATACAGACCTAAAACTAGAGTTACTTACTGTAATGCTTATTATAACTCTATATTATTATAGTTACTTATTATAGAGTTACTTTTATATATGTACTTTTTATAATATACTTATATTGTATTATTACATATAATATACATTTTATTATAGAGTTACTTATTGTAAGAGTTCTTTCAAAACTCTTACACACATAGTACCGCTACAATTTTTTAACCAAATTTTTATTTAATTCTTTTTTCGATTATTGAGCTTTTTTTTTTGTCTCCTACTTCCCCCACCTACTGGGGAAAAAAAAAAGAAAGAAAGAAAAAGAAAGAACACTAGATTCTTTGTTGAGAGGGTGTTATGCAAAGTGTCATGCTTAGGATTCAGAAACATCACTCTTACTTCCCTAAAATGCACTTCCCATTTTTTAGTTTCAGAATGAGGTTCAGGCATAGAGCCTATAACAGGAAGAGGAAAAAAAAAAGAAAATTAATGTAGTTTAAACAGTTCTGGAGCTTTCCAGTGATCAGTTAGCCCCAGTGGTAACCCCTTCCAGTGGTGTTACCCCTGCCCCAGGTGCACCATTGCCCTTGGCTTCCAGATATTTGGCTTCATAAGTAACAGAGAATGAATTCCAGCCCCGTCCTCCCAACTCCAGACCCAGTGCTCTTTCTGTGACACCACAGAGGCCTTTTAGTCAAAGCCAAAAAATACTTTGGAAAGCATTATGCTCTATGTACCAGGATTTCTTAATCAGCTGTCTATGGACTTGATTTTTGTTGTTAATATTTTGATAGTTTACATATTTCATTTCACGCATTTGAAAACATTATTCTAAGAACGGATCCATAGGTTTGCCAGACTGCCAAAGGGATCCATAGCACACAGGACCCCAGCTCTTTATAAAATACAAGCAATATTATGGCCTGGAAATCTTGACTTTTCTCCATATTGTCACTATTCATTTCTGGCCTTGACCATGTGGGTGGGACATCATAGACTTGACTGAGGGGTGCGACTGTCAAACCTGGTTTTGCTGATTCAACAGCCAGCACATTCTTTATACTTCTCCTTTCTCCTCTTCCTTTTTGTTATATAATCACTTATGCAATGATTAAGAAGACAGCAGTAGGTATAAAAATTAGTTGGAAACCCTGAAAACCTTCTCAGCTTCCCTGGGAGCATCATTATATTAGAACCTCTTAGAGCACAAAATGGCCCCAGGGGACTTTTTATCCATTGCATAATGGGTTAGTAAGTGTGTGAGGTGGGATTGCAACCCAAGTTTCCTGCCTCCACATCCCTTACAATTATACTCCTGAAGAAATATCAAACAGTAACTTGCCTTCTTAAGTCTCTTTCCACACTGCATACTGTCTGTGTAACTTTGGGGATAACTATTTTTATAGTGTTTTACCCCAGTAATGTGTTAAGAGCCTTAAATAGCAGTGTCTTTATGGTAATTTGTGACCATTCAGTGTTTTGCCTTGACTCTGCTCTCAAATCACTAGATAGCCAGTATTGGTTAATTTTAAGTAAGTCTTCCAAACAACTAACCCCCCAAGTGGGGAATGGCAGTGACCCTGAGTAAATATCAAGTTACAGTAATGTACAGACTTCTATGGAAATTATTTCTTTATGATTATAGAT